TAACATTTCAGCCCGTCCTCGCGGCCTCTACAGTCATTCAACGCCCGCGAGCATTTACAGGATAAGGACTTTGTTTGGAAAATTTGATAACTCTTTAGGACTTCTTTACAATTTTACAACTATTAATATATTCATTTTGGTAAATGAAGCAAATGTATAATTTAATAAAAGTGAAATAAATACATATTAATCATATAAATTGAAATAATTAAAATTTTAGAAGTAGAAATATTTAATAGAACTGACATATAAATATTTAGAACCGAAAGCTTTAGATCGACGGTTTCGGCTAATATTGTGCAATCTGACATACATTAATAGTTAATCCGTCTAACACTATTTTGCAAGAGTTCGGTCAATTTTGTGCAACCGAATTAACCAAAATAACTGAAATAAAATATTATTAATATTATAAAAAAATATATTTATTATTTTAATGTTTTTATTTAATATTTAATATTCTTTGGCTGAAAATATATAATATTTTTATATAATACAAAGAAGTAATATTTTGTATATAGTTCAGTCAGTTATTTCGGTTATTCTAGAAAATAACGCCAACATCGAACCGAAATAACCGAGTTTTTAAAAGTAAAAAGAAAAAAGATAAACGAAAAAAGAAAAAAAAAAAAGAAAAAAAAAGTTGAATTGAAATATTAAATTTGGACAAGGAAATTTTAGTTCGGTCGATTCGTTCGATATTGTGCAATTCATCAAACACAATTATGCACTTATAATGCAGGCATTTTTAATGATTTGATCCAAACAAAACTAAAATCAAACTGAAATATTTTATTTATTCTATTGGTTAATCGAATTACTCTAAATAATTGAAATAATTTATTATCTATATTATAGAAGTACATTTAGTATCTTAATTTATATTTAACATTTTATAATATTAATGGTATATATAATTATCGAATTCATTGAACCTAAATGGCAGCCTCATGTGCATAGTAAGCTTATTTGTCATAAATTTGTGCTTCGTATTGACAAATATAAAGGTTTGGTTTTGACTATTAGGTTTGAGAACTGTCATAAACTATTTTAGCTTTCCTTTTTTCTTAAGTTACTATATAACATTTTTATATTTTCTTACTTAATTCATATATTAATCATCGTGAATTAGTATTCTTCTTTATATATAAAACTTAATTTGTAACTTTTTGAATTATATATTTTTTTTATTATATATTAAAATAATCATATTTTAGTGATATTCAATTTGACATTCATATTATATATATAAAATATAAACTAATTGCATCTATCTTTATAAAAAAAAACATTAATTTTAGTATCAAATAAAAATATAAGTTATTTGATAAAAATAATAAAAATCTAATTCATCACTACTTCGTAAAAATAATTAATTTAATGTATTTTTTTTCCATAGATTTTGGATAAAATATGGAAATTAAGTATTATTTGAAATAAATTATAATAAATATTATAAAATATTATTTCTCGATTTTGATATATCAAATAGGAATTAAATGTTTTTATGTTTTTTAAAATATAAAATATAAAGGGATATCATAATTAAATATAATAAAATAATTTTGTGTTCCATAGATTTATAAAATATTATATTTCTACGTAAATTAATATTCTAAATTATTAAATTATATAAATTTACAAACATTGTAAATTATTAAACTAGAGACACCGACTCTATAAATATAAAATATAATCGCAATACAATAAAACTTGTTTTGTTTTACAAAATTTCGAATCAGATATATAGAATTATAAATAATATCTATTTTAGACATATATAATTAAAAAAATATAATTAAAAAATCTCATTATGACAAATTTTTAGTGAAAAAATACGGACACCATATCATGTTAATTATTTTTTTGTCAATTGTTGCATTTTCATTATTCATAATAAAAATATAAATGGTTTTAATATTTTATTGTGTAAATATTAATATATGTAAGTACTCGTGTAGTACACGGGTATAATATTAGTAATATATAAAAGACATAAATCGATAATGTGTAGTCTATTGAGCGGGTATTTGTTACGTGCCTTTTAATTTTAGAAAACTTTAATAATATGTATTTTATTGAGTATTTGCAATTGCTCGATTACATATATATTATCCGGGATTGGATCCAATGATTCCACATATTTAAAGTGTGCATGTGAGACTCATTCCTAGCCACTAGATTGGTACATGATGTGTGGCCAGATTTAACTTTCATTTAAGTAATAATTTTTTATTTTTATTACTTAATTCTTTATTTTTATTATTTTAATTATTTAAATATTATTTGACAATTGCCCATTGACTTCGGCGTTCACCATTGACTCCGGCGTTGACCGTTGACTTCGTCGTTGACCCGTTGACCGCTAGTATGCATTATGTATGAAATAATATGCATACAGTACATTGCACTTAATATGAACTAAATATGAATAAGATATGAATTATATATGTCATCCTTATGAACTAAATATGCACAAAATATATCAACTACGTATGCAGTGTTTATGTACTAAATATGCACATTTTACTAACTAAATATGCATCAAGAATGAACTAAATATGCAATAAAATATACATTTTATGCAATGAATTAAATATAATAATTAATGATTTTTATTATATAATTAATTTTAATTTTAAATTGATTAATAACACAAATAAATTGTTATGATTGGATCTCAAATAAAATAGTTATGCACTGTTAATGAACTAAATATGCATTTCGTAAGAACTAAATATGTATCATGAATTAACTAAATATGCATCATAAATTAACTATATAAACATCATTATATATTTAATTTAAATATGATAAGTATGCATTTCGTATTAACTAAATATGCATCATAAATTACCTAAATATGCATAAAAAATTAACTAAATATGCATCACAAATTACTTATATAAAATGTACATTTTATTGCATATTTTCGCTGCATATTTAGTTCATTCTTGATACATATTTAGTTCATAACAGATGCATATTTAGTTAATAACATGTGCATACTTAGTTGATATTATTGTGCATATTTAGTTTATAAGGACTGCATGTGCAATTCATACCTCATGCATATTTAGTTCATATTAAATGCATGACACTGTATGCATATTACTTCATACATAATGCATACTAGCGGTCAACGGGTCAACGGTCAACGTCGGAAGTCAACGGTCAACGCCGAAAGTCAACAGTTTTCGTCGGAAGTCAACGGTCAACGCCGGAATCAACTAATAATTATTTTATTATTTAATTAATGTATATTTTAATTGATTTTGATCTAGACAAAATAAGTGGTTAAGATTGAGTCTCACATACTCATTTTAAGGAGTGGACTCATTGGATCCACCCCTATATTATCCTATTTTATAAAATCTGTGCTTACCTAGCGGACGTTTAAAAAAGAAAAAAAGATAATCAGAAAATAGGAAGCCACTCCGTTCTATCAGAGCCAGGTTTCGATCCTGGGACCTGTGGGTTATGGGCCCACCACGCTTCCGCTGCGCCACTCTGATTTTGTTAAGCAGGTAGAGAATTGATTATTTATATACTAAATCCAATTTGGTTATAAGTTTTCTTGCAGACATAAACTATTAACTGAGTTGGGTAAAGACATAAAAATTTAAAAGTGGGAAGGATCTTAATTATGTGCTTTTCCTTAGACGAGTTTGAAAAATAATTTATTTTAAGTGCCAGAAGAAATCAAACACTACTGATCATCTTTAGATTTATGACTGAATCTTGCATAAAGTCATAAACTTCATATTTTTAAACTTATGGAGAGATTGAATATTATAGATTATCTTGGGAAAAAAAAATTGAATGAGAAAAATGAGTTGAAATAGTTAAAAAAAAAAAAAATCGATGGAAGAATGAAATATTTTTTGAAGTGTGAGATTATTAATTTTTTCGTGAAATAAAAAATAATAAAATAATAAATATAAATAATTGATATTTTAAATTATATGAGTAAAATAATTAAATAGTGTTTTTTTAAGTGTATAGTAATGATTTAGTTTTATTATTTAAATTAAAAAAAAAACAAAAACAAAAAAAGTGGAACTAAGAATCTAAAATAAATTATATCCAGTCATAGGTCTAGTGAAAAAATAATAATTATTTGGTGAGCCAAAACTTAAAATAAAAAAAAAAGAAAAAAGAAAAAAAAAATATATTTTGAAAAACAAGTTTCAAATTTGATTTTCAAAATTGGAATAAAGAAAATGTAAAGAGAGAAAGCTTGTGAATATATATAAGGCACCCTTTTAGAATCTTTTTTCATTTCCTATGTTTTGTTTTTCCACTCAAATTGCAAACTCTATTTTGCAAATCTTTATTAAAACTTGTACCAAAAAAAAAAAAAAAAATCTTTATTAAAACTGACCGTTTTTCCACTCAAATTTGATTTTTTTTTTCTTAATCTACCTAACTACTAGTACAACGCCCGTGTATTACACGTGTGCTTGCTAATTTTTTTTCTTAAAATCTAAAATTAATGAGAAAAATTAGTTGAAAATTTTTATTATATATTTAGTATGACACATTTTATTTGTGCAACTTACCTGTGTTATATTTTAATATTTTTTTTAACTTACAACATATAACTACATTAAACATAAATATATCAATTGAGAAATAATTTTATTTTTCTAATGAATTTTAATAAATATTATTATTTTTTATCATTATAAAGATAAAATATAATTTATTTATTTCATATATACAATATGAATATCAAATCGAATATTCAAAAAATGATTAATTTGATATATTATATACGTAAAATTGATAATAAATACAGAAATTATC